ACACTCCCGCTCCTCATTCCTCTCCCTCATTTCCCAACAGCACCTGCCGTCCTCAAGTTCATGGGCATCACAACCAGCAGCAAGACTGGGTCCACAGAGACTTCAGATAATCAGCAGTTCAATACTAACAAGATTTAAGCAAAGACATAAAAGAAGGGAGATGGACCAGCATTGTGGTGTAGTGGGTTAAGCCTCTGCCTGCGATGCCAGCATCCCTTATGGGTGCTGGTTCGAGTCCCGGTTGCTCCACTTCCAATCCAGCTCTGTGCAACTTCACCTGGCAAAACAGTGGAAGATGGCCCAAGTGCTTGGGCCCTGGCCCAGTCCTGGCCCTTGTGGGAGTGAACCAGCAGGTAGAAGACATATCTCTCTCATCTCTGTCTCTCCCTGTCTCTCTGTAACTCTTTCAAATAAATACATCTTTAAAAGGTGGTGGGGAGTGATACATAACAGTGGGTAGGGAGGAAGCCCAAGACACTATGCATGCTTTCAATAGGATATATTGGGGTGCCAGTGCTGTGGGCACTAGTTCGAGTCCTGGCTGCTCCTCTTCTGATCCAGCTCTCTGCTATGGCCTGGGATAGCAGTGGAAGATGGCCCAAGTCCTTGGGCCCCTGCACCCGCGTGGGAGACCCAGAAGAAGCTCCTGGCTCCTGGCTTTGGATTGGTGCAGCTCCAGCCGCTGCGGCCATTTGTGGAGTGAACCAGTGGAAGGAAGACCTCTCTCTCTGTCTCCTTTCCCTGTCACAGTCTGTAACTTTACCTCTCAAATAAATATATAAAATCTTAAAAAAAAAAAAAAAGATAGACTTTCTAGGTATGCAAAACCTGACAACTAAAACTGAGAGCCCAGTGGCTGGGTTAGGCAGCAGGACAGGGAGACACTCGCACCAGGCGCCCTGCCCCAGCGGTGGTGCTGGGTTCCTCTTTCCCCACCACGCGCCCACATGTGGGGGTGGTGCAAACTGCACGCATGTAGGCAGACCAATTGCAGGTTGCATTGTCTCCCTGCAGAAGCGGGCCCATCCCAGCCACTGCCATCGCTCTTCAGGTTCTCTGGGATTTGGAATTTTTAAAAATCTCATCTCCCCTCTGCCTGGTTTTGTTGCTTGCCGTGAGGCTGTCCAGTGCTTGGGGTCACTTCTCAGCAGAATTATCCCACAGCGGCCGGCTGGACACCTGGCTGTGCGGCTCTGCCTGGCTCCCACACCCCGCAGCCTCTCCCCAAGTGGCTTCCAAATGCTGCTTTTCCTGCTGCTGGGCTTAACTGTGCTAATCCCCAGGTTGTCCGGTTGTCTTGCTGCTCACTGGGCGCCTGTGGCAGCTCCTCCCTTCCCTGCTGTGGCTGAGCCTTCAACCAGCTCTCCCCTGCCTGTCCCTGCCAGCCAGCATCTGGCCCAATGCAAGCAAATACAGCACTGCTATTCCCACACAGGAACCTTAAAGCCCAGCCGAGAAACTCCGGATAGTGCCGAACTCTCTCTATTTATACAATATTTTTCCTATATACACATACCTATAATACAATCTAATTTATTAACGAGGCACAGTAAGCACTTATCCATAACTGATAACATAATAGAACAATTGTAAGAATACACTGGAGTAGGAGTTAGGTGAATGTGATTTCTCTCAACATCTCTCATCCTTTCACTTTTTCCATATAAAGGAAGCACCTCTCACAGCTTCGCTTTGGCTGACAGAAATTGCCGGCATCACCACTCCCCTGCTTCAGGGCCACTGAGTAAAAGAAAGGTTCTAGGCCGGCGCCGCAGCTCACTAGGCTAATCCTCCGCCTGTGGTGCCGGCACCCCGGGTTCTAGTCCCGGTTGGGGCGCCGGATCCTGTCCCAGTTGCTCCTCTTCCAGGCCAGCTCTCTGCTGTGGCCCGGGAAGGCAGTGGAGGATGGCCCAAGTGCTTGGGCCTTCACCCGCATGGGAGACCAGGAGGAAGCACTTGGCTCCTGGCTTCAGATCAGCGTGGTGCGCCAGCCACAGAGCACTGGCCGCAGCGGCCACTGGGGGGTGAACCAATGGAAAAAGGAAGACCTTTCTCTCTGTCTCTCTCTCTCACTGTCTACTCTGCCTATCAAAAAAAAGAAAGAAAGAAAGAAAAAGAAAGAAAGGTTCTGAAGCCCAGCACTGCAATAGCACAAGTGTCCATGTAATAACCAAGTGGCTACTAAGTGACGAATGAGCACAGCCGATACCATGGGGATATACCGGGCCAAGGAATGACTTGCATCCCAGGTGAGACGGAGCAGGACCAAGCGAGAGGTCATCAACCCACTCAGAACACTGTGCAACTGAAAACTTACAAACTGCTTGCTTCTGGAACGTTCCATTTCTATTTGCAGACAGCAATCAGTTGTATCTAACTGAAACTATGGAAAGCAAAACCGCAGATAGGAAGAGCCCATTGTATCTGAAATCGGGAGTCTCTCGGGACATAGCATATGGCAGTCATATTCATTAAAACAAGATATTAGATGCTACAATCAGAAAGTGCTACTTCAATTAGGCAACTGGTGTTTTCTTCTGTTCTTTTCCTCCTTCTCAAGGTTCTCCCAGTGATTATATGGGTTTTATTCTTCTGGAACACCCCAGAAAACCTCCCTGTTCTTTCTGCCACACCCAGTGTTTGATTCTAGCCAACCCTTTGCCAGCCCAGGGGCGGGGAGCCTCCTGGCTTCTGCCTTGTGCCTTCTGCCTTCTACAAACCTTCCTGTTGGTAGCAGCTTACGAAGCCCGTGCTCTGGGGATCTGGGAAGTTGCTTTTCGTTTTCTGATCGTGTGAAGCTGACATTGGCAGGGATTGGGGCAGAGAACGTGCGTGGGAACACCTCCGTCCATTCCAGGTTACCTCGAGTTTGAACTTTCTTAGCATCTTGCACTGGCCAAGACACCTATGCCCAAAGCTTTTCTTAACTATGCTGAGAACCATAGAGAAGTTGTTCTTTCTTATTTCTTTTCTGCTGTCTTCATTTTCTTTTCGCACCAAAATAAACTTACCTTTTAATCCCATAAGGAACTCGCAAGAAAGCAAGGCTTCAAAAAGTTCATGGACAATGGAGTTAAAAGATCACAGGAGAGCAGGCATTTTGCATGACAGGTAAGACACAGTTAGGCATCAGGGTGGTTGGCTTGAATCCTGGCTACTCTGTTTCCTATCCAGCCTCTGGCTAATGCTCACCCTGGGGGACAGCAGGTGATGGCCCAAGTCTTGGGGTTCCTGCCACCCACATGAGGGACCAAGATGGAGGCACAGGCTCCTGGCTTTGACCTGGCCCAGCTCGGGCTGCCGTAGGCACTTGGGAAGTGAACCTGCAGATGGAAGATCCTGTCTATGTTGCTCTGCCTTTCCAATAAAATTGAAATACATAAAATAAATAAAAAAGTTTTAAAGATAATGGGAATTTTCCACAGGCTTTTTGTGTGTGTGTGTGTGTGTGTGTAAAGGCAAAGAGACAGAGGGACAGACAGACGAGAACTCCTGTCCTCTAGTTCACTCCCTAAATGCCCTCTATAGCCTGGGCTGGGCTGGGCTGGGCTGGGTTGGGCTTAAGCCAGGAGCCAGAGGGCAATTCAGGTGTCGCTGGTGGGTGGCAGGGACCCAATCCTTGGAGCCATCACCTGCTGCCCCCCAGGCAGGAAGCTGGAGTCAGGATTCTTTCTTTTTTTCAGAAGCCTCTGTGGTACACGCAGCGGGCATCTGGAGTACCTGTGGCATCATTAAGTGAGACGTGGTCATCAGAGGCCGGAGCATGGGCTTTGCTTCCCCGCCGTGGGGCTGTCACTAGATTAAGGCTGTGGAGCCCTGGGCAGAGAGAGCGGCCCTGGAAGGGAGTGAGAAGGACCTGGGGCGGGAGTCAGAAGAGCCAACAAGCAGGAGACATCCCCAGCCCCCCTTCCTCCACCCACCCCCATGGGACTGGAGCTTCCTTCCAGCTCCCCCACTCACTGTGAGCCCCAGCTCAGTGCACCTGCAAGGATTTGCCTTTGCTTTCCCTTTTGCACCTGGAGTGCCTGGGCGCACCACATTAAGTGCACCCAGGGAAAGAGATACAGGTGGGGGAGGTGGGGTGTGGGCTGCAGAGTGCTCACTTCCTGGAAGTTGCCACCATCAAGCCCTCCTCCCTGCCCCATCCTCCTTAAAGACCTGTTGCCAGAGTGTTCCTTTGGCTGTACTAGCAGCAGGCTGTCTCCATCCACAGAAGCCATGGGCAGCGAGTTTATTTACACAACGCAAGTCAACACAATCTTAGAGGCAGCTGAGGGTGACTGTTTGTGGTAGCAACTGTCAAGGTCATAAATTAATTGCTGCTGTTAGCCTACAACAGTGAGATTGAATATTTCGTCGCTCCCAATACCTTCGGTGGGCTACAATCATATTCATTTTTCAAGCAAAACTTCCTGAGTAACACTCAATGCAAAGGAAACATCCCCAAGCAAGATCAAAGAAAAGCAGATGAAACGCATTTCTTGATGTTTTCGAATGGATTCTTGGTAACCCCTTAGATAATTTCCTGTTCACATTTAAAAAAACCCAAAAACCTACGATGTGTGCATAGCATGCTTCCCACTGGGAAACTTGAATCCCCCAGTCTCTCCAAACACTCTTGGACACGGCAGACTCAGCCCACACAATTAAAAGCAAATTTATGACTTCTCTGTTTGGGCTGGCTGAAGCCGTCTTAGACACGAACTGCCAAAAAGTTTATGGTTTTCCTAATATGCCCATTAAAGTCTGCAAATTACAGGGACCCAGACATCCTGGAAGGCAGACAGGAGTTCACGCGCAGCGAGAGCGCGGGGCGCACGGAAGGCAGCTGCGGCGGCGTGGCCAGGGACACCCCCGCCACCCCCGACAGCCGGGCTTCCTCAGCTGCGTCCCCAGCCAGGACTGGGTGGCCCGGGTGTTCCCCTCTCCCCGGCGGCGGCGGCGCCCCCGTGCCGCCCGCACCTTGCGAGCCCAGGGGCGGGGAGCGGGCGGTCGCTTACCCCGGGCGGCGGGAGCGAGCGCGGTCAGCAGGGCGAGAACCAGGGCGGCGCGGGGAGCCCTCATGGCAGCCGGGGCGCGGGGCCTCCCCGAAACGCGCGTTTCCTGTTTCCTGCTGGTTTGGGTCGGTGCTGACTTGAAGGAGAGGTGTTTGCCTGTTTTTTAGGAAGTGATGTAACTGCAGGAGCCTGTCAGACCAGCAAGGATTGCAAAAGACGAGTGAGGCGCTCTCAGCCCCGAAGTAGCCTCGGAGGCCGGCTTTGGGGAGCCCTCGGACGGACAGCCGACAGCCGTGGCCCGGAGGGCATCCAGCGGGGAGGGACCTTGGACCACCCGCTTCCGCCTCCTCTCTGTGGGAGTCGGCTCAGCCACAGCTGAGTCCTGGGGGTTGCGCGCTGGCCATTGGAACTCCCTTCCCTAAATGCCAGGGCTGTCCCCATGCGGGAGCCAGAAGCCACAGACCCACCAGCCTTTGCAATGTGACTGCTAACAACTGAATTTTTAATTTGGTGTACTTTTTCTTTTTTTTAAATTTACTTATTTATTTGAAAGGCAGAGTTACAGAGGCAGAGGCAAAGAGAGAGAGAAAGATGTTCTATCCACTGGTTCACTCCCCAAATGGCTCCAAAGGCCAGGGTAGAGCCAAACAGGAACCAGGAGCTTCATCTGGGTCTCCCACGTGGGTGCAGGGGCCAAGAGCCTTGGGCCATCTTCTACTACTTTTTCAAGAGCATTAGCAGGGAGCTGGATGGGAAGTGGAACAGCCGGGACTTGAACTGACGCCCATGTTGGATGCTAACACTCCAAGCCCTGGCTTTACCCGCTACACCACAGCCTAGGCCCCCTTTCTCTCCTATTTAAATAACTCCACGCACAGCCCAGACCCAGCCAGCAGGGTCCACCTCTCTCCAGCCATATCCCTCCTGCTGGACCCTTGAATGCCCCCTTCCCTGCAAGGCGGGTTTGGCGGTAAAGGACCCTGACACAGCCCTGCCCAAGGTGGTGCTCCACCTCCCCAGAGCAGATGAGCTTTTCAAGGGCCTGGTCCCAAGGAGAAGACTGCCTGTCACCCTTCTTCCCCTCACATGGCTGGGTAGTCCTCAGAGGTTGTGCACAGCACACAAAACAGGCTGTGGGGCCAGCGCTGAGGCATAGCGGGTAAAGCACTGCCTACTGTGCCAGCATCCCATATGGCCGCTGGTTCGAGTCCCAGCTGCTCCACTTCCAATCCAGCTCTCTGCTATGTTCTGGGAAAGCAGTAGAAGATGGTCCAAGTCCTTGGGCCCCTGCACCCACGTGGGAGACCCAGAAGAAGCTCCTGGCTCCTGGCTCTGGATCGGCAAAACTCTGGCCATTGTGGCCATTTGGGGAATGAGCCAGTGGATGGTAGACCTCTCTCTCTCTGCCTCCACCTCTCTGTAACTCTTTCAAATAAATAAATAAATAAATCTTAAAAAAAAAAAAACAGGCTGCACCGAATCAGATGTGCATGGAGGTCCTACCCCACACAGACAAGGCTGGCACAAGGGGGTTAGCATTTGAGTTCTGTTTGAAGACCCTTCCTTGGTTCAGGTTTAAGACCTAAACAGCACCCAGTGAGGTCTCCTTTTAAGATTTATTTATTTGAAAGAGTTACAGAGAGAGAGAGAGAGAGAGAGATCTTCCAACTACTGGTTCACTCCTCTCTTTCAATGGTCATAACGGCTGGGCCTGAGCCAGGCCGAAGCCAGGAGCTTCATCCGAGTCTCCTATGTGGGTGCAGGAGCCCAAGCACTTGGGCCATCTTCCACTGCTTTCCCAGGCCATAGCAAAGAGCTGGATCGGAAATGCAGCAGCTGGGAACTGAACCAGCACCTATATGGGATGCTGGTACTGCAGGTAGCGGTTTAACCTGCTGAACCACAGCGCCAGCTCTGAGTGCAGTTCCCTATTCACGTTTGTGCCAAGAAACGGAGAGAGAGGCGCAGGGTGGAGGCGTCAGACACGACCCCCACTAAACCCTTCCCTGCAGATTGCCAAATCACCGCTTCCTGTCAGCACGACCTCTGCCATCTGCCTGGGCGCCTGGAATTCTTCAACCCTTGACCTAACTATTAATTCTTCTTTAGCGTGCTGCTGCTTTTCAGCGTCATTAGTCACTGTTTATCTCTGTTCTTATCCACAGGAAATGAGTTGATGATTTATGTAATCGCAAGTTTGCTAATGGGCTTATTTATTTAAGCTTTGTTTATGTGTTTATTTGAAAGCCAGAGAGAGAAAGAGAGACAGAAGAGAGATCTTCCCTCTGCTGGTTCACTCTCCAAATGCCTGCCACAGAGCCAGGCCAAACCCAGGAGCCAGGAACTCCATCTGGGTTTCCCACATGGGTGGCAAGAACCCAGGTACCTGCGCCAGCACCTGCTGCTTCCCTAGCTGCATTAACAGGAAACTGGCTTGGAAGCCGAAGAGCCGGGACTCAAACCGGCACTCTGGTATGGAAGGCAGGTGTCCCAACAGTACAACGATGCCGGCCCCTGCAAATGGAATCGCAGTTTGCATTTTAAGATTTTAAGCTGGCAGTGATGCCAACTCTTCGTCAAACTCTTGATGCTTTTTGCCCTTTAGGTGACAGTACGGAACAGCAAAAGAAAACACGTGTGTTCGACACTGGATGATTGATGTGAGAACAACAGAAAAAGAGCTGGTAATCATGCCCTCGCTGTGACTATGAATAGAGTGCTGGCTCTAAGACGCTGGTGCTGACTTTTGTGGCAATTATTCCCGTGGGAGCACACATCTCGGCAGCTGTGACACACATGCGCAAGTGAGAAGGCCCGGGCCTTGGGCGTTCCCTTCATTTTCCTGTTTACTCCCTATTCAAACCATGGCTGCCTCGCAGGCTGGAGGCACGAGCTGGCCACCTTGGTTTCTTTTTCTTTACTTTTTTTTCTTTTTTTATTTGACAGAGTTAGACAGTGAGAGAGAGAGAGACAGAGAAAAAGGTCTTCCTTCCGTTGGTTCACCCCCCAAATGGCCGCTACGGCCGGTGCACTCCACCGATCCGAAGGAGCCAGGTGCTTCCTCCTGGTCTCCCATGTGGGTGCAGGGCCCAAGCACTTGGGCCATCCTCCACTGCCTTCCCAGGCCACAGCAGAGAGCTGGACTGGAAGAGGAGCAACCGGGACTAGAACATGGCGCCCATAAGGGATTCTGGTGCCTCAGGCGGAGGATTAACCAAATGAGCCACAGTGCCGCACCCCCCCCTTGGTTTCTTTACTTTCCTAATTGCACTAGTGATGGAGTCCTGCAGAGTTTAGAGACCTTTTAAAAAGTTTTTATTTATTTGCAGCTGGCTTTGGGGTGCTGCGGGTTAAGCACCCATAGGATCCCATAGGATCCCGGCTGCTCCACTTCTGGATCCAGCTCCCTGCTAATGTACCCAGGAAGGTAGCAGAAGATGGTCCAAGTACTTAGACCCTATGCCACCCGGGGGGGAGATGCTGATGAAGTTCCAGGCTCCTGGCTTCAGCCATGGCTGTTGGAGCCATTTGAAGAATGAACCAGAGGATGGAAGATCTCTCTCTCTCTTGTATATGAATAAATAAATAATAATACCTTTTTCAAAAATTTTTATTTATTTTATAGATAGATTTCCAAATCAGCTGTTTCACTCCCCTAAATGCCCACAACAGCCAGACTTGGGCCTAGCCAAAGCCAGAGTCTCCTATATAGGTAGATATTGAAGCGCTTGAGCCATCCCTGCTGCCTGCTACGGTGCACACAAGCAGGAAGCTGGAATCAGACGTGGAGCCGGGATGTGAAGCCAGGATGTGGGCATCCTAAGCAGTGCCTTTTTCTTTCTTTTTTTTGAAGACTTATTTATTTATTTGAAAGTCAGAGTTACAGAGAGGCAGAGAGAGAGAGAAAGGTCTTCCCTCCAGTGATTCACTCCCCAGGTGGTTGCAACGGCTGGAGCTGAGCCTATCCAAAGCCAAGAGCCAGGAGCTTCTTCCTGGTCTCCCTTGTGGGTACAGAGGCCCAAATCTTCTACAGCTTTCCCAGACCACGGCAGAGAGCTGGATCGCAAGTGGAGCAGCCAGGACTTGAATCAGCACCCATATAGGATGCCGGGACCGCAGGCGACGGCCTTAGCAGCTATGCCACAGCACAGGCCCCCTAAGCAGTGTGTTAACCGCTGTGCCAGTGGCCCTCAGCCCCTGTCCCGGGAGGCCTGCCTCATGGTGCTGTCCTCAGCTGAGCTCCATGGCCAGTCACCTGCTCACACCACCCCCAGGGGTGCTCTGCCTAGTTTCGGAGCAGCCAGGTTAGTGCGCAAAATACACCGAGTCTGCACAGACCTCCCGCGCAGCCCTGGGAGTTTCTTTTGACCTCTGCATTCGCCAAGACCCTTGGCGTGATTAAGCTGATCTTAGAGGGAAGAAAATCACCATCATTGACCAGAAAATGGTAGCGCCTCCGTGAGCTCTCTGCTGCAGCTGAAATCACAGGGAGACCGTGTGGCAATCAGAGGGCTGTTTGCTTCTGTTTGTTCTAATTTTAACAGCCATTAATTTTGGCAAGTGGCCACCAGACCTCAGTTTCATCCTGATAAGCTCATGGCAGGAAGTCAGGGCCTCAGCCGCCACTGTGAGGGCCCCTGGGGACATCCATGTGAATGGCAGGCTGCACGATGAGCCATGGGCGCAGGCTCCCTGCTCCATACTCCCCACTCTGCCCCTAGGCTGCCAGGCAGGGTGGGATTGACGTTGGTGCCCGCCATTGCCACAGGTCTCATAGGGTTGTGGCGGGCAGAAGAGACCAGTGCAAGAGATGCAAAGTCCTGGACCCCACTCCAGGTCCATCAAGAATCAGAATCTTCAGAGCCGCAGTCCAGAGCTCTGCACTTGTAATGACATGAAAATGGATTTTTATGCATGAACAAATTCAGGAACTGCTGTTTGTTCATTTTTAGCTCCTGGGAGGGTTTGTCCCTTTTCTCCAAAAGTAAGCCACAAACAGCACATCATCGTTTCCCTTTTTCTAAAAAAAGATTTATTTATTATTTATTTGAAAGAGTTAGAGAAAGAGAGAGGGAGATCTTCCATCCGCTGGTTAACCCCAGAGATGGCGGCAATGGCCAGAGCTGGACCAGGCCAAAGCCAGGAGCCAGGAGCTTCCTCTGGATCTCCCACATGGGTGCAGGGACCTGAGGTCCTGGGCCATCTTCTGCTTACCCAGGCCATTAGCAGGGAACTGGATCGGAAGTGGAGCAGCCGGGATTTGAACTGGTGCCCATATG